CCATGACCTGATCAGTACTGTATACTTATTGTTGGCCCACCCTGTATTCTGCTTCATATCTTATTGGCTGGAAATACTGCTTTGTTTCTGTTTGTACTTCTCACATAATTGCATGTGCATCTTTTACCATTCCTTAGTGGTCTTGGACATAGACACACAGTCTTTTCAAATCAAATATATATGCAGTCCTACTGCTTCAGTTGCCAATGTTGGGAAGGCTTCATCAATTCCTTGTCCTGTCTTTGTTGCATATCTATAATGTTACTATAGCTGTTTTAGTGGAGCTCCTTTGCCCAGAGTCTGTCCACCTGGGAACGTAGAGTACAAATCTAGCATAATCAGGAGCCATCTATTCTTCTAGTGCTTACCACTTCTTATGACCCACCCTTGAAAGGGGTGTTCTGAAAGTGGAATAAGAGTTAATGAAGAGAGTGTGAGATATGCAAAGTTAAAAGGGTACTTTAGAGACCTTTATGCTATTGTGAAGGAATCAATGATATTGCCATTTTGCATGCTTGCAACCATTGGTTTGGAAATGGTGCATAAATATCCAAGTGTTGGATTTAGTTACTTTCAACATTTTAACTAGATAAGGCAGTATATAAAAATTAAGTTTTAATCTGGTGCAGCTCCCCCCTCCCCTCCCCCTCTGAAAATGAACAACTTAAAAATTGCAGGCATGTTGATTAGAAAAAGTCATGAATTGAGTTAACTGAAGATTTACTAGAAATAAAATTGTGAAAAGAGTGGTAATTAGGAGGATACAGATTGTCACAATATGTTTGGATTCACAAATCATAGAAGAGTAGAGTTGGAAGGGGCCAGTTAGGCCATCAAATTCAACCCTCCTGCTCAGTGCAGGACTCTGAAGCATCCTTAACAGAAGGCTACCCTGCTGCATATTGAATGCTTCCATTGTGAAAGAGCTCATGACCTTGCTAGGCAATTGGTTCCATTGCTACATTGCTTTAACAGGAACTTTTTCCTGAAGTTCAGCTGGAATTTGACTTCCTGTGACTTGAGTCTATTATTCCATGTCCTGCTCTCTGAGAAGAGATCCCAGCCTGTCTCTCTGCAACAGCCTTTCAAGTACTTGAAGAGTACTTTCCCTCAATTGTCTCTTCTGAGAGTTCAACATGTTCAGGTCTTTCAATTTCCTCAGAGTTCTGTTTCCAGTCCCCAGTCATCTTTGCTGCCCTCCTATGAACCTGTTCTATTGCCTGTACACTTTTTAAAACTAGATGCAATACTCAAGAGGAGGGGTAGAAGGGAACTAATACTTCATGTGGTTTGGAAGTGATATTTCTATTAAAGCCAACCCAAAATAGCATTAACCTTTTTTGCAGCTGCATCACAGTGTCAACTCCTAATGAGCTTGTGTTCCAGGATCCTCCTCACCTGTGGTATTGTTGAGCCAAGTATCCCCACCTTATTTGCATTTGTTTTGTTCCCTTGATGCAAAATTTGGCATTTGCCTCTATTACATTTCATCCTGTTTTCAGCCCAGCAATCCAACCTATCAAGATGAAATTAATATAAAATAGGCAGAATCTTTCCCTTAGGAAACAGTTGAACTAGTGAACTTTCTAAGCTTTTCTTATCCTGTTCTCCTGAAGCTAGAGATCAAAAGTGGCAAAATCACTATATTTAGGACAATGGCTGCAATAGCTATTCCCAAGTTTAGAGATACATAGATACCTCTTGGGATGGCTTTGACAACTGAAGTTTCCAGTTTGCTTTGTTTTTTTATGCAGTAGCAGTCTCATTCCAATTGGAATTGTATTTTTTAAAGCAGCCTTGTTGAAAATTGGTATGCCCCAGATGTTTTGGACTTCAGCCCTAGCCTCTGTAGCCAACAGTCAGGAATCTTTGGAATTGTAATCCATATCTGGAGTTTAAAAGGTTGGAGAAGGATTCTTTAAAGAATTATCTGTTTTGACTTAAACAGCTATTTCAGTTTCAGAGAATGAGTGTTTTAATAAGCCTAATTCATATTTGACTTAAGTTTCAGGACTATTATTTCCTATATTGATGAGCAGTTTGAGCGCTATCTTCATGATGAGAGTGGCTTGAACAGACGGCACATTGTAGATAATCGAGTTCATTGCTGCTTCTATTTTATTTCACCATTTGGCCATGGGTAAGTACTGCACTAATTTTGGATTTGTGGCCAAAGACAATTGCTTTTTTGAAGTGGTCTAAGCTTTATGTATATTTTAAAGAAGTCTTTAAATAGCTAGGTGATACACTAAAAATTGTACAATGTATTTTTGAATGCAAATAAAATTAAATAGCAAATCAAAATACTTCTATATGGCAGTTCTTGTGAACTTGTTTGGACAACATGGCAGTCCTCCCTTGCTATAAGTGGAATGTCATGCAAGCAGGGACTACTTAGCCACAGGTGGCTTGATTTTTTTAAAATAGGGCATTCCATGGTACCTATGGTTTGTTCTAGAATTGTTGTCACTAAGATGACCTGAAACCAGGTAACACAGTCCATCTTGTGCAAGCAAAACATTTGACAAGAGTGGCAGAAATCCTTTGCTTTTCTTAAGCGGCTGCCAGGTGAGCACCGTTGACAGTAGCCTTCAGAGTGCCATTCAACAAGATTGAATTCATTGCTCTACATGGAGTTACAGATAACACTCTAACAAATGAGGAAACTCAATTCTTTCTCATTCTTTCTGGTATAGCGGCTGGAGGAATGAGGAGAAAAGAGAGGGGAAGCAAGGAAGTAAAACACCTAGGGGTAGGGTGGGAACTTTGTGTAGGTACCTTGCAAAATAACTAGCCCACTATGAGTTATTGCCAGGATGTGTTGTCATGTCATGTGAAAACAGCCTGTATGTTTTCAGAACATGCATATTTCTGTGCTGAGTGATTTAATCAGTCTATGAAGGAATTGAAGGTCTAAATGCTATGAACACTTAATCTTTTAGACTTAAACCCTTGGATGTTGAGTTCATGAAAGCCATACACAACAAAGTGAATATAGTGCCTGTAATTGCAAAAGCTGATACTCTTACACTGAAGGAACGAGAAAGGCTGAAGAAAAGGGTAAGTTTTATACAGGCATAGAAATATATGTAACACTTAATGAAATAATGTTTGGTACAGTCAAGAAGAAAGGCAAATGAAATGAATGAACTTGGTTAGGTATTACTGTATGAACATAGTGTGAACTTTTATTTGGTTAATATGTGTGCCTTCATTCTGTACTCTATATTTTTTCCTACCTTGAATACAAATTTGGCATGTGTATTGATTTTGGAAACAGCAACCCTTTACAAAGTATTTATAAAGTTAGGGGTTACAGGTCTTTGCAACTGCACCCCATTTTTCCAATTGAACCTTACTCAAGGGATCCCTGACTGCCAGAAGTGGGGTTTGGTAATGGGATGTGTAGGACAGCCAAAATGGCCTGTTCTACTTCCAGCCTGTGGATTTTTCCCAATGCATTTTGTCAGATTCTGGATGAAATTGAAGAGCATAGCATCAAGATTTACCATTTGCCTGATGCTGAATCAGATGAGGATGAGGACTTTAAAGAACAGACCAGGCTTCTGAAGGTTAGTAATCAAAATAGTGATGGAAATCATTGTTTTATGTAATCGTCTTCCTAGTTTGTTCCCAGTTGTCTTCACAATGTAAGTTTAACATCTCCAGTTATTACTCGCCTTGTTATTACTTGCATATCAAACCTTATATTCATAAGACCATGAGAACTGGTGTGATGTCACGGTTAAAGTGTTGGACATGGAAGGTCCTGGTTGTGCTCTCCATTCTGTCATGAAGCTCACTGGGTGACTTGAATGGGCTGGTCAGTGGGTGACAATCTATGATATGTTGCATCATGCAAACCCAGACTGATTCCAGCAGGGTGACTTATTTTGGGCCATGAAGCCACCCAGAAAATCCATGGCTTAGCTGTAGGGTTGTTCAACCCATGATGGGGTGGTATATCACCTGACCCAAGACCCAATTTCATCCTGCTGTGTTGGAAAGAGCTACAGAATCACTCAGAGTGGCAACAAATCAATTTGACTGTTTTGTAGGTGCTGTGATGCAATAATACAAAACTACAGGTACTCCTGAAATAAACCTCAGAAGTAGGAGGCACTGTTAGGAATACCCCACCCAGGGGATGATCACTAGGACCAAGCAGGGGCGTGGTGGTGGTGGGAGGGGAATCCCTAAAGTAACAAGGTCCAAAGTTATTTAGGGCATTATATGTTAACAGGACCTTAAATGTGGCCTGGTAGCTTTTTTTTTGAGATGGTAGTAGTTGCTGTGCAGCATCTTACTCTTCCTTAAAGTAGCAATATAGTTATAATTCTTGTAAATTCTCTTCAATTCCAGACCAGCATTCCTTTTTGTGTTGTGGGATCCAATCAACTAATTGAAGCTAAAGGTAAAAAGGTTAGAGGTCGCCTCTACCCTTGGGGAGTTGTTGAAGTGGAGAATCCAGAGCATAATGACTTCTTGAAACTAAGAACCATGTTAATGTAAGCACATTGCCTTTATCTTTCTAGTTAATTCAGTATTATTCTATCTCATGTTCTTACCTCAGAAAACATGGCATAGGCACAACACTTAGAAATTGTAAGATGCTTTGTAAATGTTAATTAACAATAACAGCATATATGGCACTGTGTTTGGAAGTTAAAATGATGTAAGTCATCTTACTGATAAATGTGAAGTGATTTGTCCTTCCAGCACCCACATGCAGGATCTCCAAGAAGTAACTCAAGACCTTCATTATGAGAACTTCCGTTCTGAAAGACTTAAAAAGGGCGGCAGGTTGGTATCTCTTGTTCGTGACTATGGTTCTATTGAATCTAAGTTCTAAGTTTTTGTGTGCATATAATGGTCACTTCAGAGGAGCCTGACTTGTTTACTAGTGCTTGGAAGAGTGTTACAGGTGGTCTACTCCCATTCTGTGGATCAGAGTTACCATTTAAGAACAATGTTGGACTTAAGCATAACTTATGTTCTGCACAATTTAATCATGGCTATCAAGAACCAGTAGGAGAATGTTGAAACTTATCTGGAAGTTTTCCAGTTTGAAAGTAAATGTAAGTCCACATTGAGATGCACAGCTCTGTAGCAATCTTTTCATACCCATTTTTCCCCCAAAGTTGATGGAATCAAGTGAATACTCTCAGTTGGTCTAACTGGTTAATGAGCTACTGGGAAGAAGTGATTTTGAAGACCAAGTAGTTTTTAAACCAGTTGAGTCTTTATAGTCAGAACCAACATCTTAAATTATAACTAGTGCAGGCAATAATAGGGTTTGCACCACATAATGGTCCACCTTAGTGCATTGTTGTGTCATGCATGCTCATGGTGTTCTGTGTGACAATTTGGATTTACAAGCCACCTGGGTAAGCTATGGCTTATTGTAAGGATTATTTGACCTGTGGTGGGTTGTCATTTCATTGGAACCTGGACAACATGACCCACCATGGGTCAAGCCAACTTTGCAGTAAGCTGCTTAGCAACAGCAGCAAATATCCTTGTTGTTCTTGGCAAGCAGCTAGCAGGCAACTGCCAGCTGTCCCTAGACTGGTCTAAGCGGCACTTGTGGATGGCTAGCAGAAGCTTTCTCTCTTCCCTACTATAGTCTTAAGCTATTTTCAGCTTGCCCTGGCCTTTCCCATTTTCCTCCCTTCTGTGGCTGTCAACCCATGGCTCATGGCTGGTGCTACATTATGTGTTTATGTGAACTTAACCAATGGTTCTATATAGTGCAGGGGTTTTTCTTTTTAATTCCCTTATTTTTAAATATGTAAGAGTCAGCCTCAAGCGAGAACTACATGTCATGTCTGATGTGCATAGCATATAATTTTTAAAACTGACACCATAATTGGGTCTGTCAAATCCACTGCAGAAGTAACACCTGTACATGTAAAGAGATCTCCAAAGTGCGTAATAAAGTCCTGCTTGCTTCCCCACTCTCTCGATTTTAATTGGTCAAGAAACACATACTTGTTTCCTGTAAAATCCTGTTTTCCAAGTGGCTTTGTGTGCTGATGGTGGGACTGGCAGCAGCAGAAGCAAGATTGTTACATCCTTTTGGAATTCCTTAATAAGCATTGCATCATCTGATCTATACTGAACTTTTTACATTTAATATAATTTAATTTAAAAAGAATATACTTTACATAAGGCCAAGACTAGTCTGGGACCTCTAATAGCAGGTGTAGACCTGATAAGTGCTTGGATGGGAGATCACAGGGAGCCCTGTGTGAACTAGTTTCCTCATTGCAAATGCAGAAGTATAGAAATCAGATCAGGTGATTTCTGTCTGCTATTCTTTTATAGCATCCACGCCTGAAACTGAACTGACAGTTGGCTGCCCCTTTTGAGTTAGGGAATACCTTTATAATTTGCATCCCCCTTCCTACTTATGCTGTGGCGTAGGTCTGAATTATGCAAAGTACAGAGTCTTTAATTGTTGAAATTGTTAATGTGTTTTGTATAAACATCAAAAGATCCTAAGAAGACCTCTGTGTAGAGGTATTAAGAGCTTAATGGTATGCTTTCATGTGCATCTCAATCCTTACCCAAACTATTCTGAAAATATTTTTAGAAGTTATATTTAAGGCCTTTTTACAGTGTTGGCTTTTTTTAAAAAAGTATTTGCTACACTTAAAGTGTTAAAAGTAAAATAGTTTTAAGTGGCTGGTGCAGGGAGATCCACTATATATTTTGCTTATAAAAATGTATGTAGAAATAAGGTTTCACTTTCCCAAATTAAATGTCATTGTTCTAAAGAGTTGAGATGTAATCAAAACTTTCAGATCCAAACAAGACTATTTCTATGTTTCTTATTGTGCTTTCATTCCCCCTCTATATGTAGGAAGGTAGAAGATGAGGAAGTTAATAAAGACCAAATCTTGCTGGAAAAAGAAGCTGAAGTAAGGACTTCATTGTTTTCTTAAAATATATTTAATAGTTCCTAACTGATTTTTTTTCTTAAGAGCACAAGGCAACTGGGGCACTCCTGTTTTCCTTGGGTTATTGACTTGCAAACTAAACAGTGCTCAAGCACTACTTCTCAATTTCTCAATTTGTAGCCCATAGACACAGAAGGTGAATATTTTTGGGTAGTCACAGGAGATATAATCCTTCATCAATGAATAAACTTTTGGGTGCCCCAGACTCCAGGTATCCATGTAATTAGTATAATAGGTGCTGTTTCTTATTGTCCAGTTTGATATCAGCATCTATATAGGAGACAGAACTTGTTGAAATCCACAAAATATGGCATAAGTTAAAGTGATAATTACTGGTGCAAGCTTGTAGGGTGGTGGGGAGGGATTCAATTCATGTTTAAATATAGTATTTGTTCTCATAAGTGATTAGCCTATATGGTCAGCATAACTTTAGATAAAAGAACCTCTTATCAGGTACTTAACAGTGGCTTTGTTTAAATATAATATTATACCATGGTTTAATGTTACTAGAATGAGTTTAAGCAAGCTTTAAGTTCCACTGTTCCCATTGTGGCAACTGAAAGGCGACATTTTTTGTTTCCCTTTGTTTAGAGGAACCCCAGCTTGACTTACTATTTAACCCCAGGAAAACTGAATAATCTTAACTATGGTTTGTTCAAACTTGCCAGCCTCAGATAATATGTATGAAACTGGTTTATTTCAAGTAACCACACGTTGAACAACAAGGAGAGTGTATGCTGTAGTCTTACTGCAGTTCTTTCTTGTAACCTATGTTTTTAGACTTTTTATTTATACTTTCATTTATATGCTGCCTATTACTATAGTCTCAAGGCGGCAACCGCATGAAGCCAATCTGGTATCCCATTTTTGACAAAGTTAGGTAAATCTAAGAATGAACACGAGAGGTTTTTCATCTAATTATTTAATGCTCAGTGGGATCTTAATTGTGGTATATATATGCTTGAACTCATATGGGTGACCTGTGCCTGAGCAAAGCATATGAAATTATTATACCTTTAATAATTTGACTTACAAGCTTCAATCAATAGATTTAAATTAACTAAGGCTTTAGTCCAGTGAATATGTAACTGAGTAAATTCCAGTGAATTCAGAGTACATATTTAAGTCTATAAGTTTAATTAGATTTAATTGGCCTGTTTCAGTTTCAGTTTTTGAATTTGTATTTGATTTTTAGCTCCGTCGCATGCAAGAGATGATTGCAAGAATGCAGGCGCAGATGCAGATGCAGAGAGGTGATGGAGACAGCAGTATGGCCCATGGGCACAAAGTTTAAATTATTTGGTAAGATTCTAGTGTTCGGACTTGAACGGAGGGATTTTATAGATACAGGAGAAGCTGTGTTCTTTAGTCTTCCACCCTGTATGAGTGGATGATGGAGATGGGTGGACTAAAGTCCTTCCTTTTATCAAGTTTTTGTTGTGCTTAGGTATGGAATACCTGAGTGCACAAAGTTCAGGTATTCATAACATAACATTCATAACATAAGCAGGCTTTCCCCACAACAGGACTAGAATTCCTGTTGGGTGGGCAAAGAGCAGAATGATAGACAGTGTTATGACTTCGTCACTTCGCTCTCACTTTTTGTTAGCTTATCTCCTGCTGAACTGTAATTTCCAACATCCCTGACTGTTGCACTTGGTGGCAGGGGCTGATGGGAGTTCAGTCCACCAATATTCAAAAAGCCAATAGCTTCCCACTCTTGCCCTAGGATGTTAGAAGGGTGATAATTCTTAATCAACCATGCAAACTTGGCTGTTCATCCTATGTGATTGAGCATGTACTGCAGCACACATGTCATTTCCTATACATCTAGCTCCAAAATAGTGTCACAGTCCATATAATTGACACAGAAGTGAAGGGAATCATTGTGAAGTAAGAAGGACATGCTGTACAGTGTGTATGATCTGAAGAAAAAGTTAAAGGTTATAGAGAAGTAGAAATTGTGTCCTTTTATTCTGCAACACATTGCAGGGAGAAATGGAATCAGGAACCTGGCAGCTTTCCGTATTGTGGAAGGGACAGATTTTTTTTTGCCTCCAGTTAGAAAATACTAACAATGTTTTGAAGTGAGGAAGAAACAGCTTTCTTCCCCTGCCATTAGCTGTGAAGAAACTGCTCCCACCTGTGGTGCTGCTTCTCCTCCACAAACATTTATATTTCTGGGTCTCAGGACCTCTCTGCAGTTGTAACTCAGGACGTACAAGCTGATGTTTTTTTGCTGCCACTAATTTTGTTAGAATACTTAAAAACTAATCAATAAAACTAATAAAAGAGGGTTAGGTATAAGGTGGGCACCAACACTAGAGACAAGTCAAACTATTAAATAATTTATGAAAGAGTTATGCAAAGGGATTACTGATATTTATGTAGGGGTTTCTAAAGACTGCTTACTGATGATTCTTCAGGAATCAAGATACTCCTGCTGCAATTTAAACTATCTTTCTCTACCTCAGGCCAAATTCCCTTAAACTTTCACCCTAGGCAGATGCACTTACAGCTAGATTCAACTCTTGGGTACACTTGACCTCTGATACAAAAGCTCCTCCTGTTGTGCTTTTGGATGCCTAAACAATGTCAGGGTAAAGTGCAGCACCTGTACAGAGGCACTGTAATAAAACATGGAATTTGGTGTGGAGGAGGCAACTGAGACTTCAAGGTCACAGCAGCCAGAATTAGATTTAGTCTTTAATAGTTCTATTGCCAATATTTAAACAAGGAATATGTATACAAGAGGAGGAAGGATTAGGGACCTCAAGGTTAGGCATGAAATGGGGAGGGAGAAGCACACTAAGTTAGTATACCAGTCAAAGCAACCCATATAAACAGTCTGCCCTGTTAGCAGTGCATGATTAGCCTGAATGAGAAAACTAGTGATTTTTCAGTTGTTCCTTATCAGCTTTCTTTATACTAGCTGCCTTAGTTGCAGAAGTGTGGTCTTCCCATTGTTGCACAGTTTGACTCTTCTATTCCTATTGGGTGGGTTTGCATGCCATGCCAAACAACCTTAGTAATAAGCCACATCAAGTTGATTATTCTGTGAACATTCCGCAGTAAGTCCAACAGAAGACCAGGCTTACTGTGAGTTGCTTGCTCCTTTCCATTCAGTCCTCTAGACAGTATTCCAGGGGACACCTTGGGAGTCCTGAGTTGTTTCTCCATCCCCTGCCATAATTGTGAGCTAGCTTCACTTGACATTAGCTTTTTCCTCTACCTTTTCAGTGTTAAGGAAGTGTTATATCCCCTTCACAGGGGTTTTTACTGCCTCCTGGACAGATCTTAGGGCAGCTTCCTGATATAACACAGCCACCTGCTCCTCCACAAAGAAGAAATGTTTTAACCCTTAGCTATTCAATTTTCCTTCTGTCTTTTCCTTTTTGAAACACTAAACAACAAACCTCCCACAGTGATTACCGCAAGACTGATTAGTTTCAGCTGCCTACTGTTAACTCCTTCATTGTCATTTCCCACCTGCTCTTTTCCACCTAGCTAGAATTCCCTGCTAATCCAGGCTTGCTTGGTCCAAAACCATCTAACAATACTAAAAGTGATTGTGTGTGTCCCTCTCTCTCCTCCTCGCTCACTTAAGAATATCACTAAACAACTACAGCATGGGCCTTTGGCAGTAACAATACAAGATTTCAGATTTCAATACAAGATGTAGTACAACTTCTCAGAGGCCACATAGAGCTGACATTATATAGCAAAGTAGACATTACATAGCAAAAACAGTACTGGCATTTCTTTGTAATCACCTTGTCAGATACACTTCACTGAGAGAGGGACAGTAGAAGGGAAACTTTCTCTTATATTCTATCTGGAACTTTTGATTCTTAGACCAGCTTCTAGAGTAAGTATCAAGGGCTTTCAGCTAATGCTCACAAGATCACTGAGTGATGCTGAGGGACTGCATTTTATCCCTCTGGTACTTGTGACATGCTGTGCCGGTGTATCCTGTCCCCAGTGCTGTTTAAGATGAGGTCATTGGGAAATGATCTGAGGATCTGAAGCAAGTTGCCATCGGTATACAGATGATACCTTGCTCTGTTTTCCTATAACATCTGAATCATATGTAGCTGTGGTGTTTGAATGTAATAGTAGGCTGAATTGAGGGTCCATTGATAATTGTATTCACTATACTAATTTGTATCCTGCCAAAACAAAAGCACTGTCCATGTCCTGGGCGAATTGTACTTTTCCCAAGGGAAGTGGTGTGTAAGCTTGGCTCCTCTAGATCTACTTTTATCATTAGATTAGGTATTCCTATTCACTAGAGCTACCAACCACTGCTGTTCCTGGACCATGATACCTTGGTCATGGTGGTTCAGGCATTACTAACTAAAACACTGAGTTATTTTAGTGTGCTCTATGTAGAGCTCTATGTAGTTTGTTTGAGAAGCTGCAGCTGCTACAGAATGCAGTGGTCAAGCTAGTAACAGAGGCCTCTTCACAGCAGTATGTTACATTTCTATTTAAAAACTGCACTGGCTGCCAAAAAGCTACTAGGCCACATTTAAGGCCCTGTTAACATATAATGCCCTAAGCAACTTGGGACCCTGTTACTTTAGGATTTTCCTCCCTCTATGCCTCTGTTTGGTCCTAGTGATCCTGGGGTGGGGTATTCCGGACAGTGGCTCATACTTATTTATTTATTTTATTTAAAACATTTCTATGCCGCCCCCATCGCAACAAAGCCTCGGGGCGGCTCACAAAAAATACATTAAAAACATACATAAATAATAATATAATTTAAAAGAAAAAAACATTTAAAAACCCCCGGTGCATTCTCGGCTAATTTTAAAAACTTAATTAATTCAATAATTTAGCAATTAAAATAAGTTTGAAATAAAAAGGTCTTCGCCTGGCGCCAAAAAACAAATAACGACAGCGCCAAGCGGTCCTCTCTAGGGAGCGCACTCCATAGATGGGGTGCCACCGCAGAGAAAGCCCTCCTCCGGGTACTCACCCTCCTAATATTCACAGAGGGTTCCCAGAGAAGGGCATCCGTTGCTGATCTCAAGGGGCAGGAGGGCATATATGGGCGCAAGCGTTCCTTTAGATATCCAGGTCCTAAGCCGTTTAGGGCTTTATAGGTCATAACCAACACCTTGAATTGGGCCCGGACTTCAATTGGAAGCCAGTGGAGCTGACGGAGAACTGGGGTTATATGAGAACAACGCCCAGTCCCCGTCAGCAACCTGGCAGCTCTATTCTGCACCAATTGAAGTATCCGGACCATCTTCAAGGGTAGCCCCACGTAGAGCGCGTTACAGAAATCTAATCGGGAAGTTACCAGCGCGTGTGTCACTGTCGCCAGGCAGTCGTTCTCCAGGAAGGGATGCAGCTGATGTATCAGCCGAAGCTGAAGGAAGGTGCTCCTCACCACCGCCGTCACCTGAGCTTCTAGAGACAGCTCAGGGTCGAGGAGCACTCCTAAGCTGCAAACCCTGTCCCTCAGAGGGAGTATAACCCCATGTAGGACAAGGCCCAAGTCCCCCATCCCGAGGCCCGAGCCACCCTCCAACAGGACCTCTGTCTTGTCTGGATTGAGCTTCAGTTTATTGGCCCTCATCTGAGGGTTTACTTCTGAGGTTTATTTCAGGAGTACCTTTAGTTTTGTATTTTGTATTACAGCACCTACAGTACAATGAAAATTATCTGTTACCACTGTCTAAATTCATATTTGCACTAAACTCATTTTCAAAAAAAGCCTAAGTTAGTTAGTAGCTAAGCCCCTCAATATTCTCCTTTTCATTTTGGCAGATACCTTTGTTAATTGGAGCCATTTGAGATTTTCGATGCCGTGGTGGGGTTTATCCTGCTCTGACTTGGAAAGTCCATATGCATTCAGCATGCAAATACATTGTGGTCATTTATGTAATGTCTACTTTGTATACAACTTAAACTTGGTCAATATTTCAATTTTATGATATAATGTGATGATTTATTAACTTTGATAGTACTCTTTTACTGAATTGATTTTATTACATTGACTACACAAATATTAAGATTTTTCCTAATATTAATTGAATAGTTATTGATTACTACCACTGTTTTGAGTTTTATTTGCACTGAAGGGTTCAACTTTTTAAACTGCAGTTCCATCATCCAAAGCTTATATATGTGAGCTACAGAGAAATAGCCTTCTCTGATACCTTACGTGGCTGGCATGCCACTTTAAACCCACCATTCCTACAACTATCAAATGTTGCTTGGTCACATGAAAGACAAGTGCTAAAAGCTTTCACTGTGGAAGGTTGTGATATCTTGAGCGAACATTTGAGCCTAAGGATGGAGTCACTTACACTGCTCTTGGACAACCTATATGTAAGTGACAATCCTTCAGTGCTGTTTTTTCTTATATCTAATAGTATATAGGACTCTGTGCCTGTAACACTCCTGAGCCTTTCCCAGGTTTCATACACATTTTATCAAGTAACTACCACATATGTTCCTTTTTGTGTGTGAACTAAAAAAAATCAAAATAAGCTTTAAAGACAGAATACAGTTTTAAAAGCAAATATCACATCTTCAGGGACATACCTTTTTTTAAAAAAAGTAGGACCAACCCAAATCATTGTCATGTGTTACTTTGTAGTAAAGAGAGAGTAGAAGAATGATTTCTGTTAGTTGGTCACAAAATACCAGGGCATTTGCACTGTGTTTGAATATGCACAAATGAGAGTAACTAAATCTATCATCAGGGATTTCAACAAAATCTGATGGAATGGAACTATCTCATGCAAACTAGCTTTTTGGCAGGGCTGCTTAAATATGAAGGAAAAAATTGCTCATGTGGAATGACCCTACTTAATCATTAAAATGTCTTTTCTGAGATAATTGCCCTAACATTACGGGTGCTTGAATTATTAGGACAGGATTAATAGTCTTAGTTTTCCATAAAGATATCAAGAGTTTGCTGTGGACTGTTGGTATTGCCCTAAGTAGAATAACATTCAAATTGAAGTATGAAATAGAGGAAAAGTTGCTAACATAGTCTTGTTTTTAATCTTTACCTGCCTTTTGACAGACTGCTTAACTCTATTTCAGAATTTACTGAAATGGTTTACAACTCAGTGCCAAAAAACTGAAAGTCAGTGCTGTCATATTATCATGCAATCTCTATTCATTAAATATATTTTCCTGAATATAACCTAATTTCAATACTGTAATTTAGAAACCTTCATTTACAAATTCTTGTCACTTAAATTCAAAATTAAAAAATTAAGCCAGATAACAGCTGTTGCTTTTATGCAAGCTCCTAGGTGCTTCTCAAAAATTGCCACAACTGGTCTGAAAGAACAAAGAAAGCAAAACTTGTTTCATTTCTCTCTAATCAAACACACACACACACACACACGTTTCTATATATTCAGAATTGATTGGGAAAATTATACAAATGCAAAAACTTATCGGATTGGATCTAAAGCACTCCATTATATAAGGGACTAGAATCCAGCAAAGGCCTCATGGAGAGAAGGAGGTATTTTTGCTATTTGTACCTTGTGCTTGTGTCGCCCTCCATGGAACTCCAGAGACTTTCCCAACCCTGTGGGGTAGATTTTGAAGAGGTATAAGCAGTCAGCAGGTGAAGAGAAGAGTGTTCTGCTCATGGGTATCTAGCTCCAACACAGAATTTTCATATGCTAAGCAGAAACAAAGCTTGTTTTAAAATGTTTCAGCAAACAGTTAACTTAAAAACCAAAATGGAACAGAAGGTTCCAGTTTGGTATTTCTTCATCTTCCTCTCCTTAAAAATAGCAGCTAAAATCTTTTTGTGGCCTCTGAAGTATCATATTTATAAATATTTCTACAGTTAAATTATGCTATCTGTTTTGAACATACTTTGGCAACACTCTTTTTTGCCAAAATGTGTGTTAAAAATATGGGTATTTTATATAAGAGGTTATTGTAATAAACCATGCAGAACTGAAATAATTTCCCAGTATTAGAAAAGCTGTGAAAATGTAATATCAGTGCCAAATAACTAGTATAAACATAACCCTATCTAATATATACCATGGTTTTCATTAAAGGAACTAAAACGCCTACATCTGTTCAGAACTATTCAGTTAATCTGCATGTTGCTCTGATCAGATTTGTATTATGTTCTATGGTCTTTACCTGTGGAATTGTATTTTAAATTGTCTTGGCTCTTTACAATAGCATGTGCCCATCCATACTGCTAAGTTTTAGTTGCTAAACAGTTATAAATTGCTATTTCAGTTTTCTTTTTATTAAAGTATAATATTTTTGAACAAAGTGAAGCTTAAGTTCCATGGGACTGAAAAATACGTTCCTGCTTTGTGCATGGCATGATTCAAAAAACGTACCTCTTCAATAAGCCCCATTGTAATCCTTAATGTTGAAGAATGAGAATAATAAATTTTTTTGTGCATTCTTTAATTTTGAGAAGATAGTTGGCAACAGAATGGTCTCTGTCATCCTTTACAATATATATCAGTTTACAGAACTGTCAAAACACTTGTAACTTGATAATTTCTATTAAAATTAAATGTTTAGTATATTCTTACACCTACTGTTTTTAAATATTTGAATACTCAAAGGGCTAATTTTTGTATACAACAACATTAACGTTGGTTTCTAATATACTAACATTAGCCAAGACTATTAATAATAAACATAAAAAAGTGTGTGTCTCCTGAATTCTTTGAGTAAAGATAGTCCTTACAATGCTAGTCATGACAATGCAAATTAAAAACATCTTTGTAATCAAACAGACATTGTATTAAAAACGTCTTTAGAGAATCTGCCCTTTCCATTGTTGCTGTGAGGAGGCATCCAGGATGGGACAAGCAGGGATCACATGATCAGTCTTTGCCTTGGTCCTAGTGCTGCTGCTGTTTGTTTCCTCCCTTTGCTCAGGAAAGAGCTCATTCTCTTCATCTCTGTTTTTTCCAAGTCTTTTACCGTATTCTTGTTTTTCTAAACCTTTTCTGACTTCTACTTCCTCAAGAACTGCTCCGTGGCATACAAGTTTCCTGACTTGTTCATAGATGATGCCATATACAATAACTGAAAATGCAGAGCATTGCAAAAAAGTAAATACTAATTTACTTTGTAGTCTTAATATTGTAGAGAAACTGCTCTGTGTTGTCATATTGAATGTCTGCATTATGATTTTAAACATGCCTTATTGTGGGAGAAACAAGTCATCCAGATGTTAATGGAGTATGACTCCCAACTTTTCTGATCATTGGTCATGTTTGCTGGAACTAATGTGAATGGCCTAGCAGCATTTGGAGGATCAGAACTTGATAGATGAACATTAAATTTCATGGGTAGATATGTATGAACCCATAGCCATAGGACACATATAACAACAGTGGCAAGAACCATATCACTTTCAGTGTTGTATGTTTGGTCTCTTTGTAACCACAGAGAGAAACAATGGTTTGTTGTATGGCCTCTACATTTCACCATGGCTTGTTTGGGCACCTGAACTTAGTTTCTGTGTTTCCATCACTGAGATTTGTGGCAAGAGCTGCATTGCTGCAGCAGACATTTCAGCCGGCATTTTCTACTCTCCAAATCTGCCTAGCAACTCCTGAGTCAGAGGCAGCCATGCTCTGATTGGCTGCTCTGCTCTCCCCTTTTACATGCTGGCTTTACATGCCTACATGCAGTGCTAGATTCTTGCCTGTACTGCATGCCTCCAGCAGCAGTAACCTTGGAGATGGCCGTGCCTGGCACTCCTCTTTGATCACTGCAGTTCACACAAGCACAGCTTGGAAAGTGCTCTGTCTTTGCTTTACTGGAAGAAACATTGCTCAGGTAAGTTGCCCTACACATAAGGAGCACATGTGCTATGTGTGGGACATCACCACAGTGTCCCTCAAGGCTTCCTGCCCATCCTGTAGGGGGTGGATGGAACCAATGCCCAGATGCTTTCCTCTCCAGCCCTGTGAGTGGCTCTCTAGCTGTGTAGGCATATGTCAGTGCAGTTAGGGAGTGAGCAGTGGCAGGCTTGCCGAATGGTGGAAGTAGGGCACCTGTATGCAGTGGCTGGATGCATGCTAATAGGGTGGGGTGTTCTGGGTGTAGCAGATGTGGGCACAACTGTGTATGGCTACAGATCTCACCATCAGAAGCGACCACTAGATTTAACACATGGCATGTTTTTCTCTGGCACAGCCACCCTTTTCCTGTACCTAAGTCCATGTGATGCTGCACGTTAGACATATTTTGTAATAGGCATGTGGTCCTTGTGGGGGAGGGCTAGCTGTGGGACTGGGTGGAGGGGCCAGTAGGGTGAGTCACCATTGAATATGATGGTGTGGGGGGGGGGTTGAGGGTGGGATATGGGAAACTGGATGAGGTTGATTGCAATTGCACAGGAAAGGGTAGGGAGGGCATCTTGTCCTCTGGCTGCAGGGAGGAGGAGGCCCTTTCCATTGTGTGCAAGCCCCGTGCACAGGGGTGTGTGGACAGATGCAGCAAGGGAGGGGTGGGGTGCAGGTGGATGTGCCTGTACGTTGGCACAAAGCATGACAGCAAGGGGTGTGTCTCTAGAGCAACAATGCCACTCTAGTGCAGAGGTGGTAGCTTCTGAACAGCAACAAAACCCAGGAGCAGCTGGTTGAAGCCATGCCAATGGGAATATGTGGATCAATGAGGGGGAGGAAATTGACACAGGAAGAGCAGTGTGCTCTGGGATGGATTTCAAGCTGTGGGGGTGATGGATACTGGCTGCCATTAGGAGAAAATGTGAAGACGTGGAAACCACCCAAGCATGGAAACTATGCAGTTGCCTGAACCCAGCATCCAAGGTAAGAAACTGCCACACAATAGCCGCCCAACATGGTTTAGCCTTATGTATTAACACAGCCAATACGTTGCTGTAGGCTAGTTCATTGCTGGCATACATGAGTGGGAGGGTATTGTTACACTCCTGCCCTGCTTGTGGAATTGCCATAGTCAATCTGGTTGGCCTCTGCTGAACAGAATGACAGATTAGATAGGTTTTAGGTCTAATCCAACATGGCTGTTCTTACTATGTTTCTAGTATCGTGTTTTCTTCCCTGTACCAAAGGATTTGACAGACTAATAAGGGACTACATACTTAAATGCTTGTTTTTCATTGATTAAGCTTTATTTATTGTTACATTTATATGCTGCACCTATAACCAAAGGCGTTCTGGGTGGTTTACAATAGATAATAATAAAGCATCAATTATAAATACAGTTAAAATAACAAAATAGTATAAAAAACAATAAAATTATAAACAATAAAATAGTAATAAAAATAATTGAGAAAAGGTCAGTTTATAAATTAATCTGGCAGTTAAAGGCAGCAGTGAAATCAAAAACCCATTATTAAAACCCAATTACCAAAACAACTATGGAATACAAATGTTTTCAGTCATGATGAAGAAAGTGTTAATGGCTGTCAGATTTCTTTAGGAAATGAATTCCAAAGGTGGGGTGGTACTACAAAAAAAACCCCTCTCCTGGCAATCTCCCCCCACCTCACTTTATGGGGGGGGGCAAGTTGGAGAAGGGCCTTTGACAAGGACCTTAGTGATTGGGTAGATGTTCCCTCAGATATCCTGACCGCAAGTTGTTTAGGGCTTTGAAGTCAGCACTTTGAATTGGGCCCAGACAGCAACTGGTAGCCAAAGCAGCCTGCAAAGGAATGGTGTGATATGTTCACAAAAACTAGTCCTCATCAATAGTCATACAGCCCTGTTCTGAATTAGTTGCAATGTCTGGAGCATTTTCAAAGGCAGGCCCACATAGGGTGCATTATAATAATGCAGGCACAAGGTAACCAGTGTGTGGATGATTGTAGGAAGGCTCTACTCATCCAAGTAGGTTAAAAAGTATTCCTGGCTAGTGAGTATCTCCCTTGCTCAGGAAGGTGATATTGGCTATGGGTCTATAGCTGTTTACATTGTCTGGGTCCAGGCTTCTTCAGGAGTTGTGCAATCAAAGCCACCTTTAAGGCAGCTGGCATGACTCCCTGTCTCAAAGAGGTGTTGATCATATCTACATCTGCAGGCTGCAATAGCTGAAACTCATTCAGTATAATGGAACCAGATGGTGCACTGGACACCTCTGCCAATGGAACTGGGATAACTGTAGTGTCCAAGATGTTATGAAACCAAGTGACTTTATCCTCAAAGTATCGTGCAAATTCATCACAGCAAGCTTCCAAGGATTCATTTGGGTCTCCTTTTGGGCCAGAATGGAAAAAGCCCTGAGCCAAATGGAAAAGCTCCACTGGACAATGCTGTGAGGATGTGATGCTGGTGGCAATAAAGTGCCTCCTTGCCACCTTCACCACCACAGAATAGCCTCAGTGAGCACCAAGCCATGTTCAGTCAGATTCATTTTGAGTGCTGCTCCACCTGAGTTCTAGCCATTTTTCCCTTGCTTCATCACCCTCAGCTCTGGTGTATACCAAGGAGTCAATTGGGCTCTATGAGGAGGAAGATCATGGTGATCATGGAGGTGATCATGTCAATCACCCAGGCCATCTCCATGTTCCACAGAACAACTTGGGCTTCAACAGGAATGCCTACCATGCCACTAGGAAAATCCCCCAGAGCCTCTGGAATTCATCAGGATCCATCAGCCTCCAGAGATGAACCATCATAATGGGTTTCCCTACCTTTGCAGAGGGGAAAAGAGGCTACAAGTCAGGAGGAAGTGATCAGACCATGAGAAAGGGGTCCCAATTATCAGATCACCATCTTCCTGCCTGTCCAGCAAACCAGGTTCAGAGTATGACCGTTTATATGCATTCAGCTGATGACATGTTGAGACAGCCCCATGGTTGTCATGGCTGCCATGAAGTCCTGAACTGCCCAGACAAGATGAACTAACTTGCAGTAATGGAAAAACTCATTCCTTTATACATTTATAATCCACTAGGTGAGTCTTTCCCCTGACAAATGATAAATACTGATCTAGGCTATAATCCTTTATACTTTCTTCAATACAACATAGATTATCCTGCCACTTTCACCACATATGATGGAGCTGTGCTGGTTAGCTTGCTTATGCTTCATTCTGAAAGAATGTGGAGGATTAGTTTTCTGGAACTCCGTGCCACCCCTAAAGAGTGCCTAAAGAGACATCTGTTTTTGTGAATGCCGCTTCAGCTACAATAGAGTTAACAGTACTTCTGCACAAAAACGCACTCCTTGTCACCCAACATTTCTTCATCACTGGAGTATTTAAGGGTGGAAGTTAATCATTTTGTCACTGCTACTGTGAAATAATTGAGAGTTGGAAATCCTTGCTGATCTACTGCAAATCACACAGAAAAGAAACTAATTAGCTTGGTTCTTATGATGTGAGTACTGGATTGAACCACTCCTAGAGTCAGAAGTCACGATTAGAAACACTGAAATGTTTGTTAAGGGAATTACTTACCCAGAGGCAGCCAGAAGTCATCTTTTAAATAATAGGCTAACATTGATTAAAAGTACAGCCAAATAGGTTTTAAGTAGCTTTTCCTTGAACTCCACCCTAGGCAATCCTGCACAATCAGGTGCAACTAATGTGATGGAATAAAGAATAAAACTAATCAACAAAGACCTTTCAGAGCACTTGCATGCCTAACACAGATCAGAAAGATATGTTTGTCCTCAGGAATGCCTGATATTTGCATACTAAGCAGAGCATTGTGTACAATCTCA